TTAATTAATTCTTGAAGAATTTCATAGTTGCATACAACATGTGTCCAGCTTTCTTACATGGTTGCTGGGGATTGAACACAGGTCCTCATGTTTATATGGCAAGCACTTCACCAACTGAGCCACATACCAGTCCCTCAATAAACATTTTTCAAGTAAGTAGGCATTCTGGCCAAGGGGGCAGTACAAAGAGAATTGACCATGAACCTTTGCTCTCAAGGAGCCCACAGCTGAGTTGGAGGAAGAGATAACAACAGTGCCACCAGGCACCACAGCAATAGTCTGAATTATCTGTCATCTCTATAACATCCCCATGAGGCCCATAAAGGTTGAGAAAGCTATTGAAGTAGCCTAGCTAGAATGAAGTCCGAACCTTTGTCTGACTGAACTACTGGTGTGTGTCATTAGTCATCACACATATTGTAACAACTGTGAACTGTGACTAAAGAAAAACAAAGTCGGGAATGTTTACACTCTCTCCTGGGTCCTCCTGGACCCACAGAGTTGGCCTTTGACCGTATCACCCACTGGAAACACTCTTGTTTGGGTCCTCAGTGCAGGCCCTGGCTGGCTCAGTAGCTGCCCCTCAGGTCATACCTTGTCCACAGCATGAGCAGGCTCCAGTCTTCCTCTTTGAACATTATCTCTGGTGTCTTCTCTCCCCTGGCTTACCTCCCTCCTCTTTCCATCCCTTGGGCTATCACAGATGTTTCTGTAGTCTTTTCTGGATGCTCTCCTCCACACACTCTTACTGGGAGACTTTGTCCCTTCTAGAGGGCTAGCATCACCCACCCCCACACACCTTCTCTTGTCATCAGTGTCTATCCTGGGTGTTGAGTCTGCATAACCACCTTCTAGCTGCCTAGCTTGAAAAATAATTATTTTAATATAAAAATTTAAATATAATTATATCATTTCCCCCTTCCCTTTGCTCCCTCCAACCCCTCACACATCATCCTCTGCTCCCTCTCAAATTCAAACTCATGGCTTCTTTTTCTTTCATTGTTGTTACACACACAGCACACACACACACACACACACACACACACACACACACACACACACACACACGCCTAAATATGTAAATGCAAGCTTCTCAGTCCATTTGGTGTTACTTGTGTGTATGTGACTTCAGGACTGACCATTTGGTATTGGATAATCAAGTATGAGCCTCATCCTTGGGGAAGCCAATTTCTCCCACTCTCGGAATTCCTTAGTTGCCTATAGTTCTTTGTCTATGGGTGGAGCCCTGTGAGATTTTTTTTTTTCCATTTGTGTTAGCATGTTTACTGATGTCCTTGTTTATGTCTTGTTTAGGAAGCCATATTGTTGGGTGTCAACTTCCCTTCATTTCTAGGAGACAGTCTCAGAGCGGATTTCCTGGTCCTCTGACTCAGAGTCAATCTCTCCATTTAGTCTTCTGGAATGTTCCCCGAGCCTTCAGTGCAAGAGTTGTGCTGCAGGTGTATCAACTGGGAAAGAATATCCTTGATCACTTGTTCTCTGCTGGTCTTTCTGGGTCCCCTCTACCAGGGATGAGCATGGTAAATGCTGTGTGCACAAGCTGATCCTGGGACTCGCCTCTGACATGTCCACCACTGCTAGCCTCTTGCAGTATTTCCTGAGTTTTTCTCCCCACCCCTTGTGCAGTCCAAGCCTGCATCTCTGCTCCTGGAACCTTTTCCACACTTTGGTCCCTTTGTTCTCTCTTCTGGATGCCATAGGGGCCCATGGAAAATGCAGATTAGCTCAGAGCCCCTGCTACTCAGACATCGTCAATAGTTAGCCCTGTGCTCTGGAGAGAAGGCCTCCATTCTTAGCACGCTACCCATTTTTCCAGGCTCTTTCTCAGCCTCACATGTTCCTGATGTCCCCGGTTTTGTACCCTAGTCAGAATGACACCAGGAAGCCTCCTTCCATCTATCCCTCCTAATCGTCCTTATTCTTAGGGCTTTACTTAGCAGAACCAGTCACCTCTTCAGACAGGCCCGCCTGTTGTCCTGTGTGAGTGGGGGCCCCTCTCCTGCGACCACAGCTCCCATGCACAGTCTTCCTGTAACCTGCTTCGCTCCACTCTCTCCACAGAGACAGAAAACACTTCCTGAAATCAAGGGATGGGAAGGCCAGCAGGCAGATCCTAGTGGTGCTGGCTTAAGGTCATGGACGTGGAGACCCAGAATGTTGGTGATAGGACATCCTTTCTCTTCTCGTCCCCAACAGAACCTCAGTTTTATCCCAGGGACAACATGTGTGTGAAACTTGTTTCTTAGTGTTCCCTTGCAGAAGGTTACTTTTTGGTCCAGCCAACAAGATTTAAGGCAAAGGCTCTCGTTCTCTCTCTCCTCTTTCTCTCTGAGTGTGTGTGTGTGTGTGTGTGTGTGTGTGTGTGTGGTTTGCTTCTCTGCTGTGAGCCTGGTCCCTTCCTGTTTCCCATCTTCCACTTCTTTCCTGAAATAAACAAGGCTGGAGGCAGAGCAGCCATCTTGTGACCATGAACTAGCCCTAGTCACGGGAGCCACATACTAAGGAATCCTGAGGGAATCAGGTCATGGCCCTCTAACTACCTACCAGAAAACCTCATACAACAGCCTGTGAGGTCCACTTCCCAGTGGGTAGACAAAAGCCAGCTACTCATCCCCCTTATAACCCTGCTGTTTGGGCTATGTGTCCTCTTTTTTGCTCACCCCGCTCCACCCTACTCTGGGCTCTTCCAGATGCCTCTGGCTGTTCTCTCCTTCGTATCTACAGTAAAAATCTTCCCCCTAGCCATACCATGGAGTGATCATGTCATCAGTTCATACACAGACAAATAAGTCTCATTGAAGTCACTGTGATTGGATCTCCACTGCATTGAGTCAAACTCTACTGATAACATTTCTGAATAAACACTTCCTTTGGAGGTGACACACTGGCCCTGATACCAGGCAGAGGGCAAAATTAAAGGAGCAGGGCAGCATAAAAACAGGAGAGGTGGGTTCACCCTGGGAGTCTACTAGAAGAGCATGGGAAGGCCACACACATTGAAGAAAAAATTCTAACCACTTAGAGGCCCCAGTGTGAAGTGAGATTGCTGTCCTAGATAGCTTTATAAGTGCTTGGGGCTAGAGAGATTGCTGTTAGTAAAGTGCCTGCCTTGCGTGCAGGAGGACCTGAGTTCAGTCCCATGTAATCAAAGAAAACAAGTCATGGTGGCATGATTTATAACCTCAGAGCTGGGGAGGCAGAGACAGGTGGACCCCTGGGGCTTTCTGCCCCCCTCCAACCCCAGGCCACTGAGTCCCCCTTTCAAAAACAAGACGGGTGACATCTGAGAAATAATACCTGGGGCTGTCTTCTGGCCTCTACACCCTCCACTCCCTCACACAAAAGTGCTTCATGGCTGGGCTTTGTCAGGCAAAGCTGAGCTCAGGGTCTTTAGCTGTGTGGGCTTTGGTTCTTTTCTATTTGACCCCACTAACACCCTCGCCTGCAAGTCCAGATCATTGGCCTATCACTTAGATCTAATGCAGGTGGTACATGAACTCTGCAGAGCATCAGGTACAACCCACCATGGGTGTGGTCATCTGTGCCCAATGTATACTGAGTGTCACCTCCAACTCTGGATATCTGTCTGTGTGTTCCACCTTACCAGGGACAGACAGAACGGTGATCAAGCTTGCTGCTGGCCTGGAAGGCCAGTCTGTAAGTACCTCTCTCTGCAGGTGATCAAAGCAATCAGTTGTCCACTGTTCAACAGCCTCTGCATGTTGCCCTGTCCAGAGTCCTCCGTCTGTAGGTACATTGGAAGAAGTCCCAGAGCACCCGGCCAGACAAAACTTGCAAAGACATCCGGCCTTGGGTAGGAATAAGGCTGTGTGCGCCATCCTTCACCCAGCCTCTGTCCCGGTATTGAGGGGCATCTTTTCCTGGGCCGGGCTGGAAGAGGTGGATCTGCGGAGGACAATGAGTGAGAGGCTGGAAAGACGCCTCCTCTGCCGAACTGCCTTAAGCACTTCTGCTGGATCTTTTAGCTTTTTCCGGAAAAGGCTCACCTTCTTTCTCTCTCTAAGATTCCAGTCCAGTAGGGGAAAAAACCTTGCTCACTCCAGCCTTTCAGAGGTCAGTGCGGGGGCAATCCCGTCACACCAGCGCTTCCCTTTGTCCCAACCCCCAGCACTCAGCCCAGACCCGCTGACACTCGACAGCGCCTGCAGTTTACCTTGGCTCCTTTCCAGTAAGTTCGAGCCCAGCCCTGGGGCGGCCCCCACCTCTCCACCTTGTTACGCCTTCCCACCCTCCTCTGCAGCGCAAAGAGCAGTTTAAATATAAATCAGTCCTCAGCACAAACAGAGCTTGGGCGGCGAGTCTCAGAGCCATCACCAGAACCGAGGAACCGAGGACCCAGGTTTGCGGAGCGAGTGCAGACACGCAGAGCCCGGCTCTGGACAAACCCTAGAGCCGCGGAGACTCCTCGCTCCCTTCCACCACTTGGAGACCCGGTGCCCCTCGGTTCCCTTCCAACTCCCCACCCCTTCCTTAGTGCCCTGCCCACTCTCTACCCCATCAAGTCCCCAGGTCTCTCCGTTGGCCTGCAGCCTCCTGTCTCGTCCTTCCGCGGTGGCCCCTTCTTTGGGGACCTGGCATCACCCCGTGTGCCATCTCCGGGCCTGCGGGACTTCCCAGGCAGCCGGGGCTCACCAGCTTGAGTCCTAGAGCTTCTAGGCTTCTGCAGCTGGGACGCCAGGGCCCAAGACACCTGCCTGCAGAGGCGACAGCGGCTGGGCGGGGGCTTGCAGCACCTCTGACACCCGAGGAAGAGAGGGAGGAGGGAGAGCGCGTAAGTTTCATCACCGCCACAACTTATAAAAACTTGTGAGCGCTCGCTCTCTTGCTCAGTCTCCGCGCCGCGCTTCCCATCGCCTGGCTACCACCGCCGCACCCCGAAGCGCCCAAGTCCCGCAGAACCTGCCCCCGGGACTGTTGCCACTGCCTGGGATCGGTCAGGGGACGTCTCCTCCGTCAGGATGGGGCTCCTGCCCAAACTCGGAGCGCGCCAGAGCAGCGGCACCTCCTCGGTCCCAGCCAGACGCTGCTCCCGCTCGGTCTTCAGCAACATTAAGGTGAGTAAAGTTCGGGGACTGCAACCCAGGGCGCAGTCCTGTCTGGGAGCTCTGAGTACACCCGGCTCGCTTGTCTCTGCCGGGTGCCACATCCTTGGGGCCTGGCAGGGAGTATGAAAGGGCAACTACAGGGCGATAGCGTTCTCTCTCTCTCTCTCTCTCTCTCTCTCTCTCTCTCTCTCTCTCTCTCTCTCTGTGTGTGTGTGTGTCTCGCACTTGTTACACAGGTTCTCCTGGGGAATAATAACCAGAATAGATGAACTTTCACTCAGAGGGAGCTGTCCCGTTCTTCCACGGAGAAAGAACACCTCCAGGGAAATCTTTTGGGTCTCAGCAGTGGCCATGTTCTTCCTTAAGGAGTGATCCAGTGGGCAACAGGCTGTAGGCACCCTGAGATGCCACAAGTCAGAGCACGTCCCAGGTGGACCACAGAAGCCTGCTCTCCTTGGCTGGGCTTTCATATTTGTAGTTGTCACGGACCAGATTGCTACCTGGCTGCAAAACTTCCAGCAGTTTTGAGAAATCCCCAAACTCTTCTGGTCTGGAAATGGCCTCAAGAAAACCGCAGGAGCTGGAGGTTTATTAAGAAAGGTCACAGGAGGTGACTGTGGCCTGAAAGTTATGGGGAATTAGGGAAGAAAAAATGTGGTGTTGGAAATTGTTAGGATGAGAACGCAATGCCTTCATTGATAAGGGTCAAAGGTGAGGTCCTCTTTCTCAGAGGTCTAGAAGGACCTAGAATAGGGGAGAGGTTCCTGAAGAAGGCACTTCCTGGGAGGGCTAAATGACCCTGTGGGAGGTAGGAAGCTAAAGAACCTACATCCAGGTACCTAGAGTCAGGCAAGAGTATGGTGCTGAGAGATTATTTCCCACAGCCCTCCCTTAGATGCGTCGAGCAGGACAGGTATGGGGTGCCTAGACCTCACATGGAAGACTTGGGGCACTGTGGGCAGGCTATGTGTGTCTAACAGAAAGAGACTCGGGAGTCAGAGGGGATGCCACTGCACACTTTAACTCAGGCTGTTACTGGTGGAGCTTGGGTTCCTTGTGGGGACCCCTGCTTTGGTTCCTTCTTCCACCAGAGTTTTAAAAAGTTGCATCGATTTCCCCCTTGGAATATTAATAATACAGAAAATGGGAGATAATTGAAACAATCCTCAGATCTCCTCCTCTTTAGCCGGAACTGGATGGGAATAACACGTATTATTTTGGTTTCACCAGTCTAGAGGGACTTGGAGAATTGCGAAGATTTTTTTATATGTATATTTTTAACTGAGGAATTAGAAGGAAAGGGTGTGCACAAGGGTTGGGTGGTCTCAGAGGAATGGGGTTGTGGCAGGCTTGGGGAAGGAGGATTCTCTGAGTTTCCCCAAGAACGGTAGGAGAGGTGGCTGTCCCAGTATTCCTAACAGTAAGGGTGACAAAGATGAGCTGTAGAGCTCAAGAATGACCATGTAGAGCTACCCCATAGTCCCTAAGATAAGTGGATGGCATCTAATTCTTTGAAAAGATATAAAAAGAAGATAAAAACTTTCACATGCCCTAGATTCAAGCCAGAGACTTGGACCCAGGCCAGTTGGCCTCTGAAGGGAGTTAAGTGCTCTTATCTATCAGTCAGGAGTTTTTCTTGATTCTGTTAAAATATCTCCTTGCTTGGTGGATAATAAGCTTCAGCTGACAGGCAGTTAGGGGAGAACCCACCTTGGCATCCCTATAAATCAAAGCCTGGTTATTCCGGGAGACCCCAGACACACCTCCAGTGGAGAATCTCCCTAGATGAGCTTTTCTTTCTTGAAGAAGGTATGCCTGGGGCTTTGCTGTTTGAAGGGAGATTTCTTCCTCTTAATGACAGGTTGGGTGACTGCCCTATACTTTTCCAGTAGGGAAAAGGTGACCCAATTGACATGGGGGAAGGTGACAAGGGACATGAGGTTTTTCTAGAATCTTTGTCACTGGGATGGACTATCAAGAGTGATGGTGCTGTAAACACCACGTTCCACATGGTTCAGGAGAGGGGGTAAAGTCTGAGGACAAGATTCCTGCCCCATCCCTGCCACTTACTTCCTGGGTCATGCAGGGAACAAGGCTCACCTTTCTTGGGCCTCTGGGGTCCTTTCTTTAAGTGGGTGTCATGAACAGTTCCCACCCGTGAACCTCAGAAAGAACTACCTGGAGCAAGAGTAGAAAGGGTCTCCCCGGGGTGATCGCCAAGTGAGACAAGTTCTTGCATCTATAAACAAGACTGTGCATTCCAGTGTCATTTAGGAGCTCTTGTTCCAATGCTAGCCCAGTGTACATGAAGCCCTAGATTCCACCCTCAGCACCACATTGTGGACCTGTACAGGTTCAAACCAGATGGGGGCCCAACACTGAGAGGGGGGAGTGGGCCCCACCTCTAACCAAGATGCTATTTACAACGGATAAGTACCAGCAAAGGGAAAATCAGTGTTCTTCCACGGAGTGTCACAGGGCATATCAACCACACGTCAAGGTAGACCCCATGTCCAGTAGCTGGCCAAGGCAAAATGGACTCCATGATTTTTTGTTTATTTATTTTTTGTGGGTTTTTTTGTTTAGTTTGGGCATTGTTTTTTGGTTTATTGGTTCCTGTTTGTTTTGATTTTCACTTTTGAGTTTGTGTGTGCTTTTTAAAGAGAGAGGGAAAAAGAACATAGAGTTGGGTAGGTAGGAAGGTGGGGAGGGTCTGGGAGGAATTGGGAAGGGGAACATGGTCAAAGTACATTGTACAAAAAATTTTAAATAAAAAACAAATCTTTAAAATTGTTTAAAAGTAAAAACACATAATGAAAATAAGAAAAAAAAAACTGGGCATGGTGGTCCTGTAATCCCAGCATTCAGGAGATAAAGGAAGGAGGATTAGAAGTTCCAGGTCTTTATTGGCTACATAGTGAGTCTGAAGCAGCCTGGTCTACATGAGACCTATGTCAAAGAAAAAAAAAAAAAAGGAACCATTGTCCCACTTATCCCATGATGCAGTTCATAAAGTTCACCATAATACTTATAATAATATCAACAAATAGTAGCTAACAGTAGTTGAGTGCTATGAATGGACAGACTTTGAGAATTTTGCGCCCACATTCCATCTTCTTTACAGTTCTATCAGGTGGATAATATTACCAATCTATTGATGAGGAAATCAAGGCTTCATAGAACCAGGAAGGGGTGGCAGGGAGAGAAATGAGGCAGGAGCAGCTGGAGAGCAGAAAACTTCTACCCAGCCCCTCGTTGGTACCACACTTTGCACGCTGGATCCGTTAAGTGGCAACAGCACAGTTAACAGTACTTTCTCCAGGTCTGAGAGATATCCAGGAGGAGTTTCAGTGGTACCCAGCCAGATACCCTCAATGCTAAACAGCTCCTGCCTCTTCACTCTTCGTAATGCTCAGAGAAAGAGCCTTGAAACTCTTAGGGAATTTGTGTGTGTGTGTGTGTGTGTGTGTGTGTGTGTGTGTGTGTGTGTGTGTGTGTGTGTGTGTGTGTACACAAATGGACACATATACACAGATATGTGGAGGTCAGAGGACAACCTACAGTATCATCTTCAGGATGATACTGTACCTATCTCCCCTGAGAAAGGGTTTTAACTGACCTGAAGCTCACTGCTTAAGCTTGGCTGGCTGGGACCCCCAGAGCTTCTCTGATCTCTACCTAGTATTAGGATCAAAAGCATCCTGGCCTTAGCTAAGGGTAGAACTGGGTTCCTCCTGCTTACAAGATAAGTGCCTTACAGATTGGGCTATCCTCTTAGCCCTTGGGAAGTGTTTTTTTTTTTGTTGGTGGTGGTGATGGGTTTTTTTTTTGTTTTTTGTTTTTTTGTGCTGCTGGTGGAATCTGGAGCCTTGTACAAAAAAGCATTTTGCCACTGAACTACCTCCCAAGCCCTTTGGGGTGAATTTTCACATCCCCTCCTGCAGGAGACATCTCCTGAGATCTGGTTTACAAGATTCTTAGGAAGCTCCGAACCTGCTCAAACAATCCCTGTCAACTGGCTTAATACAGCCCCAGGACTCCAAATTAAGAACAGGTTCCCTCAGAGATTCTGGGGTAAGACAATGTTCGTGTCCTTAGGAGGGCAGCATGACACAGACCTGAGACACTCTAAAGTGAAACACTTTTTTGGAGCTAAGTTGAGGTTATCTTATAGGGAGATGGGTCTGCTGGTGATGGCTACCAAACTTGAGGAAAAGCCACACCCATTGGGGGTGGAGGGGCTCCCCAGTAATGGGAAGAGAGGAAAGAAGGACCAACCTTATGGTTTGGTTTGAGGGGACTGGGAGCACAAATGTTGGGAAAGGACCTTGTTCTTGCCTGAGTCTGTAACTACTGAGGTCTCTGACTCCCAAACCCTGGGGAGGCATCTTGAGCATCACTTCTTGGTTTCTAGAATCGGGGACAACATGCCAGAAATCTAGTCCACCCCAAGAAGACATTCCCAATAATGGACTCCCTGCACCGAACAACAGCAAAGGAAGACACACTCACCTTCCTCCAGGGGTGCATTTCTCTAGCATTCAGAGATGTGTTCTGTTCTCAGGAAGCCATCTTGGCAAGTTTAGGAGAGTAGGGAGAAGGAAGGATGAGGATTGGTGGCTTCCCCGGTGATAGGACACTGGGATCCTCTCTGGGACGATGCTCAAAGCCATCTATAGCTTTTCTCTTCCCAACACAGAACAAATGAGAACAACTTACATTTCTGCGGGTAGAGAGCCTCTTTCATCTTTCCTGATTGTGACATGACTATCTCCTTTTCCATGCTAGGAGACGCAGCCCGGGCTGCTGGGAGAGGGGCAGGCTTCTCCTCACCTTCTCTTGTCTCACCCTGTTATCAGTTATGGTGTTTGCAGGGGAAGGTCAGAGGCCTCTGACCCCCACACCCCCATTCTCTCTCTTCCCATTCTTGCTTGGCTTTATCCCATGCCATGGTTTTAACCACACTGTGACAGCCTCTTTATCTGTAGAGGCATGGGCTGCACATATGG